AGCATCTGCCCCACTGGGGCCTCCCACACACCCCAGGCTGCGGGCCCCAGCGGGACACCGGCCCGAAGACAGCCAGGCCTCCCACTGGTGCCGAGATCCAGGCGCTGGTCAGGGCATAGCCAGGAAACCCGCCTGGACCTTCCCAGGCAAGTCGCCCAGTTCTGCCTCGGACCCGGCTGGCAGCGCAGAACCATCTCTCCCCCTCCCAAAGTGGCTTCCAGGACCAGCCCCAAGCTGGCTGCTGGGCACATCCACCTGGGACCCGCTGTGAGACGCGGGACCCTCTCTCCTGACTCGGGAACGAGAGGATGCACGGCGGGGTCAGGCCTTGGGGCCCCGGGCCCGGCTGGCAAACCACTGCCCAGGGTGGGGCAGAGCGACGGGGGAGGCTCCGGGAGTGCTGGAGCTAGGGCAACCAGTGACACCCCCACCTCATGCCATCCACTGTCACTGACACCAGGTCCTCGGCCTTGTCTCTGGGGCCCAAGTGGCCGCACAGTCAGAGCCGCGCAGCAGGAGTCCACCCTGAGAAGGAAGAGGGTCATGGGAGGCAGCCCGACCACCCTCGGCTCATGGCTGCTGCCCAGTGCACCCCCCGGAGCCGCAGGGGACGTTTTCTCTGTGAGAACAGGGCCCGGCTGACCGCCAGATATGCTGTCCACACATGTGTCCAGCTCCCACGTGTCCACAATGCCACACAGAGTGGGCAGGGGGCCTGGCCCAGGGCTTGTGCGGCCTGAGGCTCCACCCAGGCTGGATGTGGGGGCCTAAGCTGGCCGGTGGTCACTGCCATGGGGACCGACCAGCAGCCTCCAGTGGCAGGGAAGCCGGCCCGCCCCTCTCCCACCAGGAACGCGGGCTCTGAAGAGAAACAGGCCCGAGCTCGGCCGCCGCCTTATCTCCACCTGCCGTCGCACAACACAACCGCAGGTAAATTACAAGTTAGGTGCAGGTTCCCACAGTGGTCCCAGCCTCGGCCCTGGGCCTTTCATCTCCTGGGCTCCGCTTCTGGGGCGCGCTCTGCCGTGTGGAGAGGCGAGTGCTGGCCCCAGAGTCCCAGGGCCCTGGCCAGCTGCGCAGTGCCCACAGGGAGGGCTGGCCAGGCCCGCGGGCTGTGGCCGTGGCAAGCAGCCAGGGCCTCGGTGGGTGGCCCTGCGCCCCATGCTGACCGCTGACTGACAGCGACTGTGTCCTCATGCATGGCCCTCCCGAAGCAGCATGCCCTCCTCCAACTGTCCCTGCCTTCGCCTTTCACACTGAGGGCCCGCTGGGCTGGGCCCCGAAACCACGCCCCAGGAGGCGGCTCCGAGGTCAGGGTGCCAGGCAGGCGGCTTCTCAGGAAACTCTTCCCCGCCCACCGGGAAGCCCTTCTGCTGCTGTAGCAGTGAGAACAGGGAAGGGCAGGGAGACAGACAGACGGTGCTGGCCGAGCCTCCTCTGTCCTTCAAGACACAAAGGGCGCTCGCAGTGCAGCAGGGGCTCGGGCGTCCGGGGGCAGCCCAGGGGCCAGGCCGAGCCCTCGCCCGCTGGAGGCCTGAGCCACCGCCGCCCTTCCCCAGCCGGGGTGCACAGGCTGCGGCCGTCTGTCTGCAGGCAGAGTCAGCTAATTAGCAATTACACCGCGTGTTAGGCAAGCAGGGTCATCACACCCCAATTTTACAGAGCAAACGAGCGTCCTGGCGAGGTTGCCGGGAGAAAAATGGAATTCGCTGAGTTTCTGGCCCCAGCTTGGGCAGCGGGGCAGGAGGGATCTGGGAAGGGGCCTCAGCACTGAAAACTCAAATTTTCCAAATTAAAATGTCCTATTGGTGTGAGGGCGCGTGCTGGGACTCTTGCGGGTCCACACCAGGGATGCACCTCCCGAAGCCACCAGGTTCCCCGCACTGCCGTGGCTGGCATGGTGGGGTCGCCCTCCTGTGACGGGGCCCTGCACAGGACCAGCCCCCACCCCTGCTTAGCCCCCCCGCCACCCCGAGGACCATGGGGCCGAGGGCCCAGCGCCGGCCCAAGTGCCCATGGGTGGCGTGGAGCCTGCCCGCTCAGGGCCCTCGGCAGGTCCCGGGCACTGGCTCAGACAGCTGCCCAACCCGGGCCAGGCGTCCCCGTCCAGATTCAACTTCAGAGACTAAGCCTGCATGTGCTTTCCTGGGGCAAGGCCACTGCCCCAGGAGCACGTCCAGGTCTTGGTCTGCGGGGCCTGCATGGCGTTTCCCAGTGTCTCCCATCCTGGGACTCATGACACGTGGGTGGCGAGGGTGTCTGCTGGGCCGCCCCACCAGGCTCCAAGCTGGCGCTCCCTGCTGAGGCCTGTGTGCCCACAGGACCGAGGTGAGGTCAGGCAGGACATGTTGCACCCCAGGGCCCAGACCCACTCCCGGCTCCGAGAGCCCCGCTGAGTGGTCAGAGGGCACTGCAGGGCTGCCAGGAGGCGCCAGGAAGGCCACCCTTGGGCCGTTCTGCAGCTGCAGTGACCGCTGAGGTCAGCTCGGGGCCAGAGGCAGAGGCAGGAACGTGCCCCAGGCCCCGAGTCGGCCTCGGCCGCGGCTGTGCATTTGTTTACTTGAGAAGCGCATTCCGCGCCATGTCCCGAGGTCGCTTGGCGGTCCGGCTGCACCCAGCTGAGCCGCCCGTGCATGCGTGCGCCCAGAGAGCCGGTGCATGCTCCAGGCTCCAGGCCTCTGCCCAGCCCAGTCTCAGGGCCAGAAGCCATCCTGCTGACCCGGGCCGGCATGGGACCCCGGCCCATGGCTGTGCATCGCGCCGCCTGCTCAGCCACCCGCAGGCACACCTGTCATTCCCTGGGGTTCCTCCATCTGTCAAAAAGAGAAGATGCTTATTAATCTAATTGCATGGTGCTGCAGCTCGCGCGGCATGGCTAGGTAAGCCTCGGCAGCCGCCTGGAAAGAAGGTACAAGCGTGAACTTTTTGGTCTAATTCTGAAGCCACAGACGGTCCCACCCGGGCGAGGACGGCTGCGGCCTGGCGAGGTAGAGAGGAGGCAGCCATGCATCTGCAGGATGAGGAGGGAGGCAGCGCAGGCTGGAGCCCCTAGGGGTGCTGGCCCTCGGCATTGCTGTTTGCCCACCAGGGCACTGCAGCCCTGGCCCCACCGTCCAAGAGGCGGGCACCAGCTCCTGGCCCTGCTGCCTTGGGGACGGAGTCCCAGCCAACTCAGCGGTCTCCAGACAGAGGATGGAGGGAGCAGGGGGCGTCTCCTGAGCGAGTGACCCGCAGAGAGGACCCCCTAACTGCTCATGGTTTCCACACATGCAGGCTGTCCAGGCGAGCTGGTGTCTGTCCCCCTGTCTGGACAGGCTGCGGCCCCTGGAACACCTCCAGGTTCCCGTCCAGCACCCCTGACGTGCTGCCGCTGGGCCCTCCCTCAGCTCCGGTGGCCGATGTGCAGTTCCTGAGCCACGCTTGGCCCCGGACACTGGCTGTCATGGGGGTGGGGGTGGGGGTCGGCTGTAAGAGGAGGGGCTGCTCTGCACCCCTCCGCCCGCTGGATGAGCCAGGAGGAACCAGGGGTCTGAGCCACCGCACTGAGGCTGCTGCTCCCAGTTTCCAGCTCCCAGGGCCCTCGTCTGTCAGTTGGGCCTCGGACTGGCAGCACCTCCTGAGGCTCTGATATTCTGGGAGCCTCAAGAATTTGGTCCTAAAATTAACTGTGAGGAGCGGCAGGGACGCGTCCCTCTGTCTGGAGGCCCATCCACCTCAGAGACCTCGGACCCGCTGGGGCAGCCAGCTCCAGCGCAGCCTCTGCCTGCAGCCCTGCGTCTGGGCCAGCAGTGAGATGAGCCTGGAGGCACCGCACCTCTTGTGCACCCAGGCCGCTGGCCCCTGGCCCCGCTAGCAGCCAGGCGGAGACTGAGGAGGTCTCCAGCTCGAGCACACAAGCGAGCCTCCCTGGCCAGCCCCGCCCGGGGCCCGGCCCCAGGTGGCTGACCACAGCGCAGGGGGGAGGGCTGGGACCTTGGACGGTTGGCTCCCAGCCAGCCCCTCCAAGGCTCAGCAGCCCCCCAGTTAAGCCCTGAGGCCCCGGGAAGCCGGCAGGGCAGCAGGAGAGCCACCCCGCCGCCGGGCCAGCCGGGCAGGCCACACTGGATGGAATGCACTTTCCACGTCGCTCTTCAGAAACTGGCAGCGGATCCAGCGAATTCCACAGCCACATCCGCGCCTGACTTTTCGCGGAGCTACAGCTCGGGAGCAAAGTCACCCAAGCCGCGGCCGAGCCCAGGAACCCCAGAGCGGGGGCCCCAGAAGCGCCCAGGCCGGCCTGGAGGGGCTGGAAGCCCAGCGGGGCGCCGGCGGCAGGAGAGGGGCCGCCCGGCCCGCAGAGGCATCTCCGGCCCCTCCGGGCAGCTCGGAGGAGGGCGCGGGCGGGTGCGCATCGGGTCCACATCCCAGCCCTGCCCCCGGGCCCCGGGGAGGCCTTGATTTCTGCTCCGTGCGCCTCCGGCCTCGGTTTCCCCCTGGAAAAGCAGCGGAGGCGCAGGGGGGAGACGGAACAAAGCGAGGCCGGGCCTGCGTCCCCAGCCGGCCGCGCTCCGGGCCCGAGCCCCGCGGCCCCGCCGAGCAGGGCGGGCCGGAGCCGGCGCGCGCCCCGCAGACCCTCCGCCCCCGCGGCCCGGCCGGCGCGCGCGGGGTCGGGGCGGCTCCGCCGCGCAGGGCGCCCCGCGGCCCCCACTCGCCGGAGTGAAGTAACCAACTTGGGCCGTAAGTGCGCGGAGCGCGGCCCGGGCGCTTTCGCCGCCCCCCGCCGGCGCGGGCGGGGGCGGCGCGGCCCGCCGGGGCGGGCGGGGGCGGCGCGGGGCGCGGCGCCGGGGCCCCCTCCCGCCGCGGGCCGGGCCGGGCGGGGCGCGGGGGCGCGGGCCGGGGCGCGGGCCGGGGCCGGGCCGGGGCGCGCGCACTCGCGCAAATACGGCGCAGGCGTCGGTGCCCGGCCTCCGAGGAAGTCGGCGCGGCGGGCCAGTCCAGCGCCGGAGCGGGGCGGCCGCCGGCGCCCGGGACGGGCCGGCCGCACCATGGGCTTCGAGCTGGACCGCTTCGAGGGCGACGTGGACCCGGACCTCAAGTGCGCGCTGTGCCACAAGGTGCTGGAGGACCCGCTGACCACGCCGTGCGGCCACGTCTTCTGCGCCGGCTGCGTGCTGCCCTGGGTGGTGCAGGAGGGCTGCTGCCCCGCGCGCTGCCGCGGCCGCCTGTCGGCCAAGGAGCTCAACCACGTCCTGCCGCTCAAGCGCCTCATCCTCAAGCTGGACATCAAGTGCGCGCACGCGGCGCGCGGCTGCGGCCGGGTGGTCAAGCTGCAGCAGCTGCCCGCGCACCTGGAGCGCTGCGGCTTCGCGCCCGCGCGCTGCCCCCACGCCGGCTGCGGGCAGGCGCTGCTGCGGCGCGACCTGGAGGCGCACGTGCGGGACAACTGCGACGCGCGGCCCGCGGGCCGCTGCCCGGACGGCTGCGGGCTGCCCCTGACGCTCGGCGAGCGGCGCGCGGGCGGCCACTGCTGCGCGCGGGCCCTGCGGGCGCACAACGCCGCGCTGCAGGCCCGCCTGGCCGCGCTGCACAGGGCGTGCAAGAAGGAGGCGCTGCGCGCGGGCAAGCGCGAGAAGTCGCTGGTGGCGCAGCTGGCCGCCGCGCAGCTGGAGCTGCAGATGACCGCGCTGCGCTACCAGAAGAAGTTCACGGAGTACAGCGCGCGCCTGGACTCGCTCAGCCGCTGCGTGGCCGCGCCCCCCGCAGGCAAGGTAGGCGCGGTCCCCGCCCGGGCACCCCGGGCACCCCGGCCCCCGGCACCCCGGCCCCGGGCACCCCCGGCCTCGGGCACCCCGGCCCCCGGCACCCGGTCACCCCCAGCCTCGGGCACCCCAGCCCCCGGCACCCCGGCCCCCGGCACCCCGGCCTCGGCACCCCGGGCCACCCCGGCCGGCGGCGGCGCACCCTCCGTCCCTCGCCAGCAGCCACTAGCCTGCGTGTCGGAGCTCTGGGGGTGCTGGCGAGGCCACCCCAGCAGCCCAGGGGGCGGGTGAAGTGTCCCTCTGGCTGGGACGGTGTTCAGGGCGCCACCGCTGGAGCAACAGGCGCCCTTGAGGGAGTCGCTTCTGCGGGGTTCAGGCCGGAAAACGTCCACCCTGCACAGGACACGCGGGGCCAGTTACAGCCACACGTGCCCGGGAACCCCAGAGACCGGAAGGAGCCCACAGCCGGGATAGAGTTAAGGAGGGTGCCGGGGGGAGGCCTCTGGAGCCGGTCGTGGGCTCTGCTGCCGACTAGCTGGCTGCCCGCCCCGAGGAGCCGCTCAAGCGTCTGCTGAGCCTGCGGCCCGGGCTGGGCTGGGCAGCCTCCGGTGCTGCAGGGCCGTCCCCTGGGCTCCAGGGAGGACAGTAACTGCCTGCGAGTGTGGAGACGATTCCAGGGCGGCCTCGGGGCCAGAGGAGTGTCAGAGCCTCCAGAGCTCTCTCTCCCCGTCCTGGGCCGCGTGGACCCTGCCCTCAGGATTTCTGACTCCGGGGGAGGCCGGGAGGGCCCTCGCACCTGGTCAGTGTTCAGACCCTGGGGACCTATGCACCCACGGGCCCTGCCCGCCTGTCAGTGTGTGTGTGGGGCGGCGCGCAGGCCCAGAGAGGCCTGGAGCCTGAGGCCCCACGTCAGACGCCTCAGCCAGAGCTGAACTCTGGCACCTCACTCCGGCCTGGGACACACCAACCTGGGCCGGCGCTGTGGGGTGCCCAGCACCCTGGGGCTCAGTGGCATCCCTGGCTGCTGCCCTGCAGAGCTGAGAACCCTCCCCCACGTGGCCACCTGAGCAGCTCCAGGCTGCTCAGGCGTGTGGGGTTCCGGCGAGCACCCCAGCTTTCCTGCGTGGGGCGCCTGCCTGGGACGGCCAGCCGGCTGTCGGCCCTCTGTGGTGCAGGCCCTGGCCTTGTCTGCGCTCCCTTCCTGCCTCCCGCCTGCTCCCGCCCCCACCAGGGCCTGTCAGCTGCAGCCGCAGCAGCTGGCGGCTCGGGGCGAAGGGCAAATATTTACAGCTCCAGGCTCACCCTGACCAGCCCGGGCCTCCAGAGCCGGGGGCGCCCGAGCCCCCCGATGCAGCGCTGGGCCACGCTGGGCCGCGCTGAGCTGGGCTGGGCTTTGGGCAGCGCCGGCTCCGGACGCCACTCCCGGTTGTCCCAGTGGTGCCGCCTGGACCCCGCCGGCCCGCAGGGACCTCATTTGTGTTCCAGCCACTGCCACTGCCGCAGGGCTCGGCTCCTCGTCCCTGCCTGCCTTCGCCGCTCTCCTGCGCCGCTCCCCGCTCTCCTGTCTGGGCAACTCTTGGACTCAGACACGAGGCTTGAGGCAAAACTGACACTTTTGTGGGTTGCTGGTGAGAGGGAAGATGGAGCTCGGGACACGATGCCACTTTCTGGCAGAGAGAGACAGTTCCGGGCCCTGGGGCCCATCGGACGCCCCCACTCCTCGGTTGGGCCCCTGCCCAGATGCCAGCCCCGGGCAGGAGGCGCTGCTCTGGCCACGGGCCCTGGGCCTCTACCTGGGACCGGCCTTTCCTCAAGCTGACCCTCCGGGCCAGGGCAGAGGGCAGCTGTCAGCCCCAGCCTGGCCTGGCCGCCCCTCCGGCTGCCTGCACGTTTCGCTGGCCGCCGGTGCTTCGGCAGCAGAGGATTTCTGCCCTTGGACACTCTCGGGCCAGCACTGGCTGGTGGTCAGTCCTGTTTACGTCTCTGTTACCAGCTCAGGCACAGAGCAGCCCCGAGCCTCCGACCAGTCCCCCAGGCCCGCCCAGGTGGTGCCGCCCAAGTTGTCCCAGAGCCGGGCGTCCAATCTGGAAGTGACAGCTGAGCAGGACCGTGCCCTTCCCGGGGCCGTAGCACGGGCCTGAGGTCCACCGACCAGAGGGGCTGCCGCGCGGCCAGGCCCAGGCTCACTCCCAGCCCCAGGCAGCTGCTGGGCTGGGGACACTTCACTCAGGAGCAGCCCGCAAGGCCCGGCTGCACTGTTGCTGTGTCCCTCCCTCCCTGGAGTTCAGGGTCAGCCCATCTCGCCCGCCTGCCCGGCTCCTGCCCAGAGAGCTGGTGCCCACCCTCCGCCCCTGCCCCACGCCTGCGCCCCGTCAGGTGTCTGCAGACAGCGCTGCCCATGGTTGCGGGGGCCTCTGGGCACAGCCCTGAACTGCGGGTGCAGGCTGGACCCAGGCCCCACTCTTGCCGCCGTGCCTGCTCCGCGGTGCTCTCCAGGGAGGCAAGAGGCACCACCCTCAGCCTAGTTCTTGCCCGTGGGGGCTGGCCCCGTGGCTGTGAGGTCCAGCTGCAGCCCCGCCCCTCCTGCTGGAGACGGCCTTGGCCCGTGGGACGTCACAGGTGTCCCTGCTCTGACCCGAGGCAGAGCGGCGCCTCCTCAGACCCCATCCCTGCTGGGCCCATGCCTCCCCCGGCCTGCCCTCCCCTGCATGGTACACTGAGGGACCGGAGGCCGCACATTGACCCGCTGGGCCCGGGGCCCTGGCTCGGCTGCCAGTCCTCCCCCCCAGCCAGCTCCTGGAGGGTCCAGGAACTGCCCCTGGGCTGGAAGACTGCCCAGTCCCGCCCGGGTCAAGGTCGTGGGCCCAGGAAGCCGCTGACTCTCCTGTGGTCATGGCCATTCAGGCTCCTCTGTGGCCCCCATGGCCAAGGAGCAAGGGCGGCGCGTGCTTGTCCCTGGGACTGTGTTTGCATCTCCAGGGCTCTGTCCCCAACACTGGGCCCTGCTCTGCTATGGACTGGACTGGCGTGGCTGGACACACCCTGTGGGTGGGTTCATATGAAGGCCCACCCTGCCCGCCGCTGACAGCGGCCCCGGGACATGCATGCGTGAGAAGTGTCCTGAGGCCCCCGCGTTAGGGAATTTGCTCCAGGAGCGGGAGACTCTCGTCCCTCTGGCCCCACGTGGCTGTGCGGAGCCCAGGCCGGGGCCGTGCTGCCTCCGAAGGCGGGGGAGGGTGGGGCGGTGGCAGCCTCTGCCGGTGACGTGCCGGTCACGAGGTGGCTGCGCTGTGTGTGGACGGAGCCCACCGTGGGCTGTCCCTATGGGCAGCGCAGCCACAGTGCCCACACACGTCCAGCGGCCTGGGGAGGAGGGCGGTGCTGGGTCATGGATGAGCTGCGGACCTGTCTCAGCAGGTCAGGCACCCCGTGCGGCCTCTAGGCGACCACCCTGCGGTGTCCGCCCCGCTGCTAACCCTCTCCCGGGGCTGCCTCCCAGGGACACAGTGGCCTGCTGGTGTGGACACGGGAGCTCTTGCAGGAGGCCCCGTGAGTGGAGTGGTGGTACCTGCCAGGCGGGGCCTGCGCTGCACACGCCTGAGGGTTGGGTCCACTGTCTCCCCCCGGAGGATCCCTGAGTCACCCCTGGAGTGGAGTCTGGTTTTCTGCCTTTGATTTTTCGTGGCCATCATCCCCCAGGCCTCCCAGAGGTGGCCACGGGCAGGGCAGCCTCCCGGGGGGCCCACAGGGCAGGACCAGGTGCGTGAGGATGAGGCCATGGGCCAGGCCGCCCAGGCAGGCCCTCGGGACCCAGGTCATGGAGGAAAGTGCTCGCCGGGCCTGGATGCCCACCGCCTGCTCCCAGGGGCCTGGCCCAGCGCTCCAGGTCATCTTCCCCAAGAGGAGGGCCCCTGGCAGTCAGCTGTGTTGGGTGGGCGGCACGGCCCATAGGGAGGGGCCTCCCCACCGCCCATCCAGCGAATGAAGCCTCCGCTCCTTCGTCCGCAGGGCGAGGACGCCCGGAGCCTGACGCTGGTGCTGCACCGCGACGCCGGTGCCCTGGGCTTCAACATCATCGGTGGCCGGCCCTGCGTGGTAAGTGGCCCGAGGCGTCCCCTCCCCAGCATAGCTGGGTCCAGGTGGGGCTGGTGTTATCCAGAGCCCTTGGGTCTGGGCTGCCCAGTGTGGGGCTGCATCTGCCGGGTGAGTCCTGGTCGGGGCCGGCCCTCGATCAGCGGTACTGCCCACGGCTGCTGGGGAGTGTCCAGCCTGCCGGCCTCCGGGGTCCCCGCTCTGCCGACCATGTTCTCACTTGTTAGCCTGAAAGGGAAACTCACACTCACTGTTAACAAGCAGGTGTTGGCTGTTGTCCGCGGCTGGGGTGGCGCAGAGGCCACGGGGCCCCGCGGTGGGGACTTCGGCACATAGTGAGTGGATACAGTAGCAGATCGAGGGGGGCAGCAAGGGGACAGTGTGGGGGTGGGCGCCAGGGGCTGGCAGAGGGTGGCCCAGCCCTGACAGGCCTGGGTCCAGTTCACGGCACCACAGGCAGCTGGTTCCTGGGAGGCAGGCGTCGGGGCACTCAGGGCACCTCGGGAGCCGAGTTCTGAGGGCGGAGAGATGCTGGATCCCTAGGCAGCACCGCCCCTGGGCCATGCAGTCGGGCCAGGCTCCCACGGGGTGGGGTCAGCCGGGGCCGCTTGCCTGCGGGTACCCGGACGGTTGCGGGGCTGGAGGAGGCAGAGCTGGTCCAAGAGGCCCCTGCGTCCGGGGCTCGGGTGGCGACGAGAGGGTCACCCTAAGCTCCCCGTGCTCTCGGCAAAGCCGTGGTTTCGGAAACAAGCGACTGGTGCTGGGGAGACAGCTCAGTCCAGGGAGACACTGGCCGCTGGGCTGCATGGGGGGCCTGAGGACGGGCTGAATCTGAGCTGGGGTGTGGGGCGTGCTGGTCTGGTCTTGGGCTCCAGGAGCGCCCGCCTAGGGGCAGGCAGGGGGCCTGGTGCCAAGGAGCTGGGCGCTGAGCGGTGAGGGACTGGGGTGGCCGTGGCGGGCAGAGGTCGGAGGCGCCTCCTGCCCTGCTGATCCCATCCCTGCCCCAACCCAGCATTTCCCGCCTGAGCCTGGGACGGGGACTCAGAACCCGGCCGGCCCAAGGGCTGGTGTCCACAGCAGGCTGGACAGCGAGCAGGTGTGGGGTGCTGACCGTGCAGGCAGCCTGGAGTAAGGGGCCGGGCCTTGGAGGGGCCTGGACACCAGGGCCTGTTCCTGTCTCCTGGGCCTCGTCAAGGCCTCGCCTTCACACCATGTTGTTTTAACCCGAAGGACAACCAAGATGGACCGTCCAGTGAAGGCATTTTCGTTTCCCGCGTAGCCGACGGCGGGCCGGCGGCCAAGGATGGGGGCCTGCAGATCCACGACCGCATCGTGGAGGTAGGTGCAGGGTCGCCTGGGCTGCCTGGAGGGGCCTGAGGGAGCCAGACAGGGGCAGTTCCCCCAGGGCCAAACTGCATCCTGCCTCGGTTGTTCCGTGGGGCCTCTGTGTCCGTGAGGCCAGCCCAGGGCTCACCGCTGCCCGCTGTGCCCCTCACCCTGCTGCTCTGGTGTGCAGTTCTTTGCCCCTCAGCTCGGGCACTGGAGACCGGTCGCCCCGGGACAGCACTGCAGGTGTCCTAGACGCTGCGAGGGGCTGGGTGGGCAGGCCGGGTGCCCCTCCTGGCGTGGACACCCGCAGGGTGGTTAGCGGCAACGTGAGGAAAGCCCTGGCCGGCCGCTGCTGGCTGCCCACTGCTGGGCACGAGTGGGCGCGGTTGCTCGGGAGCTGCCGCAGCGCCGGGGCTGTGCTCAGCCATCTGCCTCGCCGCCCTGTCCAGCCATGACTCAGAGGCCCTCCCCCGCGCCGCCAGAGACACCACGTGGTAAGGTCATGCTGGGGGTGTGCCCCACGCTGAGGATGCGGCTAATGTGCCCTTCAGTTTGCAGGGGACTCTGGTCGGGCCTCCCCGAGGGCTTTGGGGGCTGCTGCTCCGCCGTCTCCGTCTCCGCCGCTGGCAGGGCTTCCCGAGCCCTGCGCACTCGCCGTCCCGTTGACAGGGAGAGGTTTTCTGAGCTGTGGTTCGGAAAGAGAAGCCCTGCTTCCACTGCTGAGATTCGGGGACGCAGCCATGACTGTGGAGCGGGCATTTCTTTGCTCTGAAGCTTCACGAGGAGAAGCCGCGTGGCCGGGTTTCCTCTTGGCAGAGGGTGCTCAGCCTCTGAGTGTTGGTGCAGCTTCAGGGAAGTGGCCCCCTCGGGACAGTCAGACACTGACCGCACCCCAGTGTGGAGACCGGCAGGCCCGGCTCGGACAGATTCGGGCCCCGGAGCATGTCCCGTCCAGCTGTTTATCATTGGGTGTTGCAGCTCTGCCTCCCCACCCTGACAGAGCCCCCCCATCAGAGGCCCCCAGTCAGAGCCCCCAGCAAAGCCACCCCCCAGCAGAGCCCCCCGGCCCCCACGTCTCATGGGGTGTTTGGAGACGCCTGCCATGCTCTCCTGTATGAAACTCACAGGTGGTGTCACGTGAGCCCGTGTCCTGGGGCGCGTGGAGGCAGGCGGTGGTGACAGTGATGGTGGCCCAGGGCCCGCCGGGAGCAGTAGTGGCACCAGCTCCTGCACAGAAGCTCTTTCCGTGCTCACCAGCGAGTGTCGCCATTCCAGCTGGCGGGAGGTACACACAGCAAGCCTCCCGCGCTAACCATTCAGGTGTTCTCTAGAGGACGCTGCCCAGCACCCCGCCCGTGCCTCCAGGACCTTCTCCCCAAACTCAGACTGCCCCGCCCCCTCCCCACGGCTCCAGCACGCGCTGAGGCCTCTGGCCAGCGCAGAGGCTGCCCCGCACCCGCCGTGCGAGTCACGGAGTTACGCTCCCTGGCTTTTGCTGTCAGGCGGCTCCCACAGCCACCTCGTAGTGGCCGTCTGTGCTCTCTCGCCAGCGCCGGCGAGCAGAGGAGAGTGGAATGTGAGTGGTGATGCATGGAGGTGTTTACACACTGTGGACTTTGCGTAGGAGAACAGTCTGCGTAGTAAACGTTTTGGTTATTATAGATATTTTAGGGCTGGGATTTCGGGGGACTTCACATGTTTGACGTCACATTTCTGTACTCTGGAATTATTCGTGGAAGTATTTTCGTAGTCCAGGAAGTGGTGAGGACGCAGGGTGATGAGTTGGGAGCTGCTTTTGAGTTCAGCTGCCCCGAAGCCGAGGCCAAGTGTTTAGAGGAAGCGCCTGGCCTTGGGCGGGGTAGGAGGTGGTGGCTGCCGGGACCTGGGCTGGCGGGATCCTGGCTGGGAGGGCACCGCTGCGCCTCTGTGGGTGTTCTGGGACCACAGGAGGATTTCACGACATCATCCACGAAGCCTTTTAAAATCAGAAGACGGGGCCTTCCTGGTGGCACAGCGGGTTGGAGCACAGCGCTGTGAAGCTGTCCGCAGCCTCTGCAGCGCGGGTTCAATTCCCGGCCGGCCAGAGAGATTCCCACATGGCGCAGCAGACCTCTCCTGTCTCCCCGCTGCTCCCCTCAGCGGTGTGTTTCAGTGGATCCACCTGTTCTGCTCCCCGCTCTGTCTCTGGTGAATCCTCTCACCCTCCCGCGCCTCTGGCCTGTACCCCAGCTCTTGTACAAAAATAAATCTTTAAAAAAATAAAATAAATAAAATCAGAAGACAGAAGAAATCAGGATAAGTGAATAAAACAGGAAAAGACTAAATCAGAAGTGGCTGATGTCCCCATTGAAATTTTTGAGTAAACACTGGGTAAAAAACGAGCTCTTTGGTGACTTCCTGAGGACAGGAGGCCAAGCCCCGACAACAGATGATCCGTCTGAGGTCAAGGCCTCTCAGCACATCTGGATACTTGCCTCCGAGTCGGGGTCTAACAACCATCTATATTTGGAATTTTAAAATTGTTTTTGCCTTTTCGCCTGTTGCTGTAAGACAGGAGGAGACAGCTGCATTTTGATTGAACCTGGGAATATGCTGGGATGTCTGATTCAGATGATGACTGTGAAGTGCATGCAAACTCGGCCTTGTGGGCAGTGCTGGGACCCGTCGGAGCAGCAGGTCGACTTCGTTTGGGGAACTCAGGCTTAGCAGGGTCTGGCGGTGGCGGCTCAAGCAGGCCTGGTGCTTGCTGGTCTGTGGGTCTCCTCGGGCAGGGCGGTGGGCGCTGGCTGGCCCTGCCCCTCTCACTGGGACCTGCTTGGGGGGACGCTGCAAGCTCAGTCCCAGTGAGGTGTGTGAACCAGGCCCCTCCCTCTGCCTCGGAGCCCTGGGCCTCCACCAGTAGGTGCCCAGACCACCCCACTGCCTGCCCTCCTGCCTTGGAGCCTTTGTGGCCTGGAGTCTGACCCTCTGCTCTGGGTTCAGGACGAAGGCCTAAGCAATGGGTTTTAGCCTCTCCCCCATCTCCCAATCTCCCAGGAGAGACAGTCCAGCCCATTTTAAAAGGGAGCAAAAATGTGCATTTTGTCCTCCGTGTTTGGAGACACTGAGTGGAGCTGCGTGGTGCGGATGGGCCTGGTCAGAGGCTGGTGGGGCCTCTCCCTGGAGCCTCAGAGGGACCGACCCAGCCACGCTGGTTTTTTGTTTTGTTTTTTTTTTTAAGATTTATTTATTTACTTATACAAGCACTGGATATAGTCAGAAGCGCGGGAGGGTGAGAGAATTCACCAGAGCCAGAGCAGGGAGCAGAGCAGGCAGAAGGACCGAAGTACACTGCTGAGGGGAGCAGCGGGCGGCAGGAGAGGTCTGCGCGCCATGCGGGACCCTCACCCAGGAGCTGGGGATCGAACCGGCGCTGCAGAGGCTGCGGGTAGCTCGCAACCCAGCGCTCAAACGCTGCACCACAGGAGAGGCCCCCAGCCACGCTGGTTTAAGGGTTCACTAGCCGGAAACATTCAAAGCACTTCCAAAATGTGATTAACTGTTTACTTTCAAAATCATGAGGGCGACAGAGTGGCGTGTTGAATTCTTCGTGGTGTGTGTTCTTAGTCTAAGGGGGAGGGAGATATCACAGGCCTGCCCCTGGGGGTCAGGGTGTGGAGTCACACGTGTCCCCGCTGCAGGGAGACGGTGTGTGAGATTTGCTGTCCATGGAGAGGGTCCCCTGGCCCAGACCTTGAATTCTGAGTGAACCTGGCCAGCCCCTGCTCTCTGAATGCTCAGCTTTGGCCCTGGGGGCAACCTGAGTGCACAGCTCCCCTGCTGTGTCAGCAGCCACACCTTCAAACCTGTGACATTGGAAGCTGGGTGGAGGAGTGCCTTCCCTCCTGACATCACACTGATTGGTGACCCAGGAGTCTGAGCTCACAGCCTTGCGGGGTGGCTGGTATCTAACAGCCTGGCAGCTGCCCGATCCACAGCTGCTTTAGGTGCAAAACAGTTTCTGGCTCCTCATTGGTGTTGGCGCAGGGGGACAAGTGGGGTTTCTTCTAGCTGTGAGGAGTTTGTATTTCATTGACCTCTTTCCTTAGGAACACTAGTTGTTCAGGTTATGTCTTTTTAGGATGACATCTTATGTCTTAAGATTAACAGAAACACCACTGTGGGAAAATTGGAAAATAGAATTAAGTATAAAGGGGAGCTAGAAGCCCCCACAGTAGTGTCCTGACAGACAGCATCAGCAGTTTGCTCACTGGGACCTGCGCTGGCCCTGACGGGCGTCTGATCAGGCTGTTTTCATTCTTGTTCTAAAGGTGAGCTCAGGTGGAGTGGAAGCGTTCAAGGAAAACAGGGTTGCACTTGGATTTCTGTGCTTTGCCTGGTTCTCCGAAATATCAGGAGCTGGTAGGCTGCTACGAGCCGGCTGGGTAATGCTAACGTGAGCTTGTGGGTGGAATGGTTGGTGACCATGGGCTCGTAGGAGAGGGACTCGGGCAAGTGTTAACATTTCTATTGAGAATGTGAACCTCCTAATACCATGAATGGAGCAGCATCTTTATTTTCTTTGGATTGAAAGATAAGTTTAAATATCAGATATAGAACTCCTTTCTTCATCACCATTGATGATAATGGTGACCAGCTAGGTGGAGTGTGTAATCTGTCATTCCACCTCCTTGTCAGCCCCAGGTGCCTGGAGGCCCCGCTCCCCGTCAGCCTTTGGTTTGTGGCGCAAAAGAGGGGACCTCTCAGACGGGGTGGAGGCTGCCCTGAGTTACGGAAGGTGTCACAGGAGCGTGACTGCAGCCCGGGGCCTGCCTCCTGACCAAGGTCCAAGCACACTTGAATGTTAATAGCCGCAGCCCTTCCCTGTGATGTGACAGCTCACGGTGTAGATTTTGTGGAGTGAAAGAACTTGTCTGGTGTGTGTCTCTTGAGCGTGCATCTGGACACACAACCTCGTGTCCTCCTCACAGTAGTAACCTGGGAGATTTCGCCTTTTTGGAGTTGCTTGT